TATTATGAAATTTTTATATACAAATTATTTGAAGGCTTTTACGATTGATAAAATATTAAAGATGCATGATATTCATTAAAGAAAATCTAATAAATTAATAAATAAATTAATTAATTTAATAATAAATTAATAATTTAATAATTTAAGGAATTTCTTCGATGACTAAGAGCATCATAAAACGGTCATTATAATTATCTTTTTTTAATTGCATCAATAAATAAAATAAACTTTTATTATGAAATTTTTATATACAAATTATTTGAAGGTTTTTACGATTGATAAAATATTAAAGATGCACGATATTCATTAAAGAAAATCTAAAGAGAAAAATCTAAGATTATCCACAGAGTCTTATAAAAATTTAAAAATCATATGCATGTATTTAAATACGTATTTTGATATTTAAAACTAGACTGATATTAAGATAAATATTGACGAACAAATTTATTAAACTTATTATTATATTTTTTAATATTTGAACAATTTATTAAAGAAAGAACAAGAGTTCAGGTTATAACATTTAATGATCTTAGGAGGGGTAAACATTTTATCCTTGGAATGATTGCTATATTGAAATATTCAAATATTTCTTACAGAAGGGATGAGCAATGTAAATAATGGAAGTTTTTAGAAATTTACTCTGGCAATAATCTTGATTATCTTGTTTATCCTTAATCATCGGTTCATTGTCAATTCTGTTTTTCAAGCGTTTAGATATGCAAAACATATGTATGCGATGAGAAAAAAGATTTAAATTATTAATTGACATAACTCTTCATATTATGATATTATTAATCTATAATTATTAATCTATAATTTATATACACAAAGGATTTGAATTTTGTTCTTCGTTTATTATTATTAACTTAATACAAGTTCTAGTTAAAAATTTAAAAGTAATAATGTGTTTTATAAAATCCAAACGTTTTAAAAAATAATGAAATTACTACTGACATTTATAATATTAATTTCGATGTGATAACAAAATTAGAAGGTTATAGATATAAAAAAAAGAAAAAAAAAAAAATAGTGATTTCAAATTTTCGGCCAATCGATAATCAATTAAAACAATCGATAAATAATCTAGAATTCCATCAAGAATTTTTTCTTAGAGAAAAAAAAAAAAAAAAAATTCAATAAAGTGATTGTTAATTAACTTAGTTAAATTTTTATTAGCGAAATAAATCAGTTTCTAAAAATTCACTGTTATGCGAAACTGTATAAACATTATTTGATTAATCTTTGTACACAATTTCATGGATAACTTCTGGATAATGTATAATGGTCCATAAGTTATCGAATATTTGTTAATTTTAAATATAATGGTTATTGAAATAAATTTATGAATTTAAAATAGATTCATTATCTTTATAACTATACAAGGATCTACAATTTTCTCGATCAAATATTCTTCTACATATGTCTTTTGTGCAAATATTTAGACATTTTTCTTAATCTATATCCCTACTATTTATAAATTTAAAAAAAAAATATTACCAAATTATTTAAAAATCGATTATAATATTCATTCAATCCTATCCTAAATATATTAATTCTAAGTAATAATAAATAATTTTTTAATTTTCAAAGGATTCTCGTTCATCCATTCATGTTGCAAAAAAAATAAAACTTTTTGAACTTCGAATATTTCCAAGTTTTCAACGAATCTTGTCTCATCTATGAATAATTATAGTAACACAAATCGTATGGCACGAGAGCTAACAAAATCAAGGGGAAAAGCTATAGAAAAGTTACTAGATCCAAAATGGCGAGCAACAGATGGAAACTGAACGTTTCAACGAACACATTGTTTATAACCATCACTGTCCAGTGATACGTTACAAGCTGGCGCCATACTTCTCCGTTCACGGAGCAATTTTAGCAAAGCATCATAGGGGCCAATGGAACGAAGAAGATGGAATGTTGGCACAGGGCCGAGAGGCGAAGGTTACGCGTTTCCTCCATGTGTCCTCGGTCCATGATGTGAAACAAGCCGAGGACGGAAACATCGGCTTACTTGCTTGTTTTTGAAACAACTATGGAAAATTTCTGACTAGAGTACATCTGTTGCTCTTCTACGTCGATCCAACTTTATGCAATCCCTCTTGATATTTTGGATACGAGTCTGACGCGACGATAGGAGATTTGGAACGTTTTTGTGCAAATTTCTGTTCGAAGGGAGGCGAAAGGTGAAGAAGAACGTAAGACAATGAAATTGAAATGTGGAATTGTATTGTATCGTTAATCATAGTCATCGATATGGTGAGTCATTAAGATAGATAAATTGATTAATCTGTGTTGAGTCTTTCTTTACAGTGAATAAGTACGTACGTAAGTATGATTAATTTGTAACAATCACAGAAAAGTTATCGTGAAAGAAGATTTTTATTTTTTTTATTTTTCTTACTCAATTATTATATCAAAATGTTATCATAGAAAAATAATAACACTGTAAATAACAGCAATCATTTCAAATATCACGTGTGTTTATTGTAATATTAACTGAGAATTATGTATACGGCTGAATGAACAATAATTTTAGCTCGGCCGTACGATTACTATTCATAAAAATACGATAAACAAGGCATGATACGCATGATTGATGGAGAACATCGACCTCCTGCCAAGACCACCCACAACTCAATCTTTTCTGAAAAGTGGATAATAATTCTTGAAGATTCTTCATAAAGTACATTTACGATTCCAAAGTATCCAAAATTCAGAATTCCACTTGTTGGAGGAAAGAATGATTGAATGAATTAAATACGTTACATTGAATAATAAATTTCTCTAAAGTTTCAAAGTTTTGGAAATCTAAAAGAAAAAAATCGATCGAATTGCAAAGATTTTCCTTCAATTTAGATGCATCAATTTTAGATGAATAATTACACGACCTGTTTTCATTTCCATTGTCACTGACGTCAACGGATTCTCCGTTGAAAATAATCTTGGCACATTTGCAATGTCTTTATATAATATTTTTTTTATTTTTACGATAATTTAAAAGAAAGAAAAAAATAAAAAGAAAAACCTCAACCAAAAAATAAAAAGTAGAAAGTTCGAACGAGTTCCAATTATTTTTAACTCCGGTGACTAGTTAAATATAACCGTTGCTCATTCGTTAATTAATGGAAAATGATAATTACGATCACGAGAAAGAGAGATAAAGAAGGCGAACTAACAATTATTCTTATACAATTTTCTTACAACACAGTGATAAAGCCACTTGTTTATTTTCAATCCAACCCGTGGTTGTAAAATCGATCATTGTAACGAGAATATCGACGACGATAAACGCTCGATAATCGCGCCTATCCCCCCTTCTTCCAACTCGAAAAATTCATCGAAAAATTCATCGAATTGGAAAATAGGCAGCAATTGCAATTAACTTTCAATAATAGCGATTGATTCATATAGCTCTTATTGTCCCAATAATTTACGACCGATGAACATCTCTATTTGGCAAACGACATCGGAGGAGCGGAAGAAGTGACGTGGACGAACCGTGAAGGCGACCTTCCGGAAATAAATCGGTCACCGAGCAGCATCATCCGAGAAATATTCTCTTTCATTGACTTTCCTCCGGAACGGGGGATCATCTATGATGATGATCGAGTTTCTTAGCTTAGGCGATGTGTGAGAAACGCGTCGATCGGACACGAAGTTCGAAGAAATAGTGGATTATTTTTAAACGTACATTTCGTTATAAGCAAACGCTCGTTATTTTCGGTCTTTTCGATTCGTATACGTTTCTGATGCAAACATTTTCGAGAGAACGATCCATTGACCGAGATATTGGCGGAAAAATTTTGTAAATTATCAATGATAATATAAATTTTTTTATCAAATTGTATCAAACGTTTGATACAACAACGAGTCAGCGTTGCAAACAACGCTCCATTTTCACTTTTTCTCGAAATGTATCTGTAGCGACGGTGTTTATGGTGCGAAGCCACGCCGTGTTATGGCGGGGAATCGGTGTAAAAAACCAGATCAACGAGGAGAGGAGACAACGAGCGGAATCCGGAGAGTTGAGAGGACGTGCATTTAATATTCGAGAGACACAGAGGTATTTCAGCCTGAGAGGGCGTTGGACCGACATTCTAAATACAGAAGGGAATGTTAAACGCTATTTGGACGGCGATTAAAACCGCTTTGGAACCGTGGCCGAAGCAAAGGGTTCAAGAACGATGATGAAGAAACTATTTCTGTCCCGACGTGTAGTATATCATCGATATAATCTAACGAGAAAGTCGGCTTAGTCGGGATAGTTTCATCCTCGATCTAAATAGATCAATAGATTTGAAATTGATGTTTCTTAGTACTTGGGTCTCGTAAAAATTGGTGGTTAAAAATATCGAGTGGAGTTGTATTAATAAGTTTATCGGCATTCCTTTAACCCTTACAGTTTCCAACCTCTGCAAGTCTAAAATAAGAATCCCCCCCCTCGTCTCGAATTCTTTCAAAATTTATACAAATGATTTAAAACTACAATTTTACAACGAAACAGTATATAAATATTTACGAGTGATTTCACTTGGACGATCTAAATATTAACAACGATTAAAATATTACGTTATTATTTTCATATAACCTATTATTTCGTATTACTGTTTTTTTATTATTAATCATTAAATGTTGATTAAATTTCCCTATAAAGAAAAACTTTGTTAATAACATTCAATATGTTCCCCTATTCGACATTCGTTTTCATCGATGATTTCCTCATCGATTGCAGAAAATCATTGAAAAATTATCGATCGGTGAAGCGGCAAAGCGTAATGGCGAACAATCGCAGAGAGGAAACGCTGAAACGTTTGTGGGCTAGGCGTTAACATCGCGTGACAATGGTGCACCGAGTATACCCGAGTATCCACTTGTAGAGGGTGTGACAGTGTAAAATAGAAGGTGCGTTTTTTCATAGTTAAACATCGAGCAATCTGGATGGCTAATTTGTATATCAAACGATCGAGAACGGAGGATTTGGGGAGAATCGGTACCTCCGGGTCCTGGTTCTGCTCGGAATCCGCCGATGTGCTCGACGTCTTCAGGATGCTGTACAGCTTTACGTAGGGGGCCTTGATCAGCTGTTAGCCAATATAATCGGCCGTTTTTAGCGCTTTCTTTGCCTGGATTTCCACCTGGATTTCCCTCCATCCTCGCATCGATCATGATCTCACGCGCGTGAAAAATTTTTACCAAAGATTTTCGAAAATTCGGTCGGAAAATTCTTTGTAATCGAGTAACTTTAACTTTTACTTTAATTCTTGGAGAAAAATTAGCTTCTCGAAAAGGCGAGATTTTTTTCGAGAGAGAAAAGAAAGAAAAGAAAAAATTATTAAAAAATGGAATATCAGAGAATTATTCAATAATTCTCTCTATCGATAATTTTCGAAGAATATCGATGCAAGGATCGAGAGTTCACTGGAAGCACTAAGGCTAATTTTCTCTTGTGTTTCAGAGAAATGAAAAAGAGAAAAGAAAAAAAAAAATCGGCCATAAAAAAGAAAAAAGCTCATATAGGAGACATACGGTGCTCGATGGATCGATGGATGAGGATCGTCGATTATGACGATGACATTAATCACTGTGCTCTGAAAGTGACGCGAGAAAGAACGTGGAAGAATGAAGAAGACGAAAAGCTGTGCGAAATCGGGCAACCAATCGATAAACACGCGATGATGAGGAAAAGAAAAGAAAAGAAAAAAAAAAAGAAACGAAAGAAAGAAAGAGGAAAGAAGACGGTGAAGACGAACAAAAGCTGAAGAGAAGAATGCTCGACGTGTTAACTGCGTTAACACAAGCTGACTAAACCAAACTGTGATTATAACACTCGTTGACAACGATGAATTCATGAGGTGCGTCGAACCTGGGTGCATAAGGCAAACGTTCGTAAGACGAAGCGAGATGAGCCAAAGAAATTATTCAAATTATTGCAAGAATGCCGATGATTAAAGAGTAATTAAATCAAATATGCGTTTGTATGAGTCGATTTCGATGATTGATCACACGTAATCACGCTGAACGATCAACTTATATAATAAAATATGTCTTATTCAAAATGGAGTTCTGTGTACAGTAGTGCCCAGAAGAACTTAACTGCCGTTCTTTTTTCACTTGCTTAATCGTTATGGGGATGAATCAATCCTGAGAATTGAAATTCTCAGTCATTTCAGATTTTGAGACAAGGCGTGCGTCTATAGAATGCATCATAAAAAAAAAAAATATAAACCGATACATTTAAACAGTTATTCGGGCATTATTGTAGTAAGTTGGAGATCATTTTTAACCATTACGAGTCATGGTATTATTTTATTGTTTGCAATAATATAATGGAAATGATGAGGTTTATAAATATGAGAGTTTATAAGTATGTTAAATCAGGTAATGTGATTTCTTTTTTATAACTATACTTAAAATCAATTTATAATAAATATTTGTTGCTTCAGTTGTACGATATTAAAAGCAATGATAAGAAAATAGGATAGAAAAATTTTTCAGATATTATATTGCAATTAAGTAAAATAAATTATAGGTGAATCATCGAGATAATCACTATTTACATTTCTCATTTTTTAACCTATATTTTTCTACTATCTATGACGACTTTCTTTTTTTTTTTTTTTTTTTTTTTTACTTAAAATTCATCGATCAATGATAAAAAAATCTCATTACTAATGCACGACTTAACATACGATTCCCAATCGTGAATATCATTTTCGTCAGAATAAATTGTTCGGAAATGATAATCGAGCGAGTTCAGCGTGCCAACGTAAAGTTTTGATGATTCGCTTGAAAATTTCCATAAAGAAACATATTTCGAAGATATATCCGTATAAAAAATAAATAATAATAATAATAATAATAATAAAATAAAACGCTCACCTCCCATGATTCTCTCGTCAGCTCGGATATCTCGTCGCTGTCCTGACGAGATTTTCCTTCCTCTGTGGTTCCTTCCCCTGCTTTTCCAGCCTCGTGTACACCCGATAATTCGGGCGACAGATCCGTGTCGGTGTCCAACAGGATGTACCCACGTTCCCGCCAATAATTCTCGTCGAGCTCTCCATAAAGCGAGGGCACCCACGCATGGATGAACCTGTAGAGGTCGTCTACCCTGCGAATAACAGGAACACGCTTCGCATTAATCGACAGAATTACGGTCTTTTTTCTTTTGCTTCCCCATCCCCTCCCTTCTCCAATAATCGTTTTACATCGCGTGTCTTTTATCAAGCAAATATAGAAAAATTACGAATGACTCGTATCGCTTCGATAACGATAATCGTTTTACGTAACATCGATTCCTTGCCTTGCATTGTTTCCGATACACTGTTCTGTTACGTCTGATTTAATTTAACGTGGCACGAGGTAATAGGAATGGAGTTTTATGGGTTGTTATTTATGGGAAACGTTGGAATTAATTTTGAGATTTGGGTGGTTTTGATTAACGATGAAATGATGTTTCTTTTCAGGAGATTTCTTTCTTTTTTGTTATTATACAGAATTTCGAACATTAAGAAAAAACAAGTTGTGGTACATACATAATTGAATACATAAATAATCGTAAGTTGTAGAAATAAAATAACTTGAAATAAAGTAATTTATTATTTCTTAGAATTAAGAAATAATAATAATTTCGAATAAGCTTTTGATTACAATTTTTTTTTCTAATGAACGTGTGTTTTCAAATTTTAATCCGACGATGATTTATTTCAAATTCTTAGATTTCAAAGTTTTAATCGATATATATATATAAGGCCAGCGCTATACACGTTTCCAGCCATTCGAAATTTCAGATTTAAAAGAATGCATTCAACGTGAATATAGAGAAATAAAAAGTCTCTTTTATCAAACTACCTTCGATTGACGAACGGTATAATGTTCTGCATAGTGTTCGTCACACTCTGGTTGTACACGAAATTCATCATGTTGCCGACACTGCTCAATGTCCAATTCATTTTGCCGCCTCGTCAGGTATCGTACACGTTCACGTTCGAGCACCTCTATCAAGATTGAAGAATTGACTTTCTCTAACCGATATACACTTGTGCTTCAAACGTCGACGACCATGCAAGGTCGTTTCCTATTTCCTCTCTAACACTTCGTTTCCCTTTCTGACTGTTGCAAAATATTTTGCAATCTTTATTTACTTTGATTAATATTTTTTACCTACTTTTGAGCACTGAACTATTATAGTTTCGAATTTATTTTAGAATCACGAAAAAGAAGAGTCCGTGATGTACGTAATGGTGACCCCGTAAAACATTTTCTACAATCGAATTGAACAAACTTGCTTAAAATTTTATATTCTGATAATAATATTCATATCACATATTTTTTATTTAAACACACATTTGAAAAATACGTTGAAAATTTTATTATTTTTTACTTTCAAATTTATTTTAAGATCAAATAGTTACTAAAATCGAATAGTTACTAAAAGCGTCCGTGATGCAACTGATGTTGACCCCGTGAAAACACTTGTCAGAGTCGATTGTACAAAATGGTGTTTAAACTTTATAAGTTAATATATCACACGATTTTTAAACACAATTTTGTATACTGAAGTAATATCATTTATCGTGATCATATTCTTTAGAATTTATTTTAAGTTCAACAGGCTACAAAATAATACGAACGTGATGCAACCGATGAGGACCCTTGAGAGACACTTGTTAGAATTGTGTTGGTAGACTGTACAAGAATTAGACGAGTGAATCATTCGGAAATTATGTATATTCATTATAATTACCTGTGATGACGTAAACTACTGTGCAAACTACTGTGCAAACTAATGTGAAATTTTAATTTTTTTTTTTTTTTATGCGAATCAATTATTCTATAAATATCTATTATATTTAATATAAAATATTATAAATTATAAAAAATTACGATATTTCTTGCAAAATATAAAAATCGAAACAGTTTATAAAAGCATATAAAAATAGAACAGTTTTTTGATTGGTTAAATTTAACTTTGAGCAAATACTTTATCTACTCGACTTTGCCTATACTTTATCTACTCGATTGTTCGCCTTACGATAATTCGTATCATTGTCACCTGTTATTGTTTTTTTTAATGGCACATAACAACTTTATTATAATAATAATCATTTAGATAGATGACAAAGACTAATAAAATAGTAATAAATAATAAATAATAATAGTAATAAAATAATAATAGATATTTAAAATCAAACGTTGTATTAAAAAATAAATAGCTTATTATCAAAGTGTACTTGTTATAAAAAAAAAAAAATAAATAAATCATTAAAAAATTGATAACAATTATGGAAAAATTTTATCTAAATTACAATGCAAATTAAGATATGTTACTCATAGTTTTTTTTTATATATTTTCCAACACAATATTATTATCAAATTATTATTATTCTATTACAAAATTAATTATTACTTATTATTCCTTTAACAAATACACGAAAAAAAAAATAAACACTTCCTTTTTACAAATTTTATTCTACACCAAAAGCAATCGGATGTTCCTCTTTCTAATTAAAAAGCAAACTATTTCATTAAAAAAAAAAAAAATCTTAAAACTCTTAAATTCTTCTTCGATCTTCTCTTCGAAAGACAATCACAAGAGTTTACAAATTATTCAGTTCATTTCCGATATAACTCACGTAATGTCTTCCTTCTCTAGTGTCTTTCGAGAACGAATCTAAACGAATTATCTAATCAACACGCATTCGTTATCCTCCACCTCTTCTTATCGCGTCAACTCAAGTACGTCACTATGTTGCTCTGTACACATGTTTCGTGTAACGAAACATTTTCCAATTTCCAATGACCATTCGGTGCAAGACGATGTTATTCTAAACGGCAGTTCAGATCAACGGTATGCAAAAGAGAGAACGTGAATCGCGTAGGTTAGACGCTTCTTCGACGCGTTACCTAATCTCTGACTGCGTGATGACCAACACAGACCGTTCTCTCTCGATTTCTCCCGCTGTGCAACACTCTTTATTGTTATATGAACGTGTTCACTAGGTCAGATATGTGTATAACGGATTTGAGACGCGATTGCAAATCGACGATCATTGGTGTGGTAGGTAATAACGATTAAAGTTTAATGCAAGTTTTTTCTTACGTCTGAATTTCAATTGATAAAGATTTGGTGAGTGGTAATTTTAAAGATTAACCTTAAACTCTCTCTGATTGGGATTTTGAGAATGATTATTAGAATTGTTAACGTTTTTTTGAAAATAATAATAAATGTTATTAAAATTTTAGAAAGTTAAACTCAAAGTTTTGGAGAATAATAATTTAGTTAAAATTTTAGAGAATCGTTCCGAGTTTTTAAATTTTGTATGAAACAATTCTATAAAATGATTCTCATGATGCTATTCGAAGATTTCTTATTTTTATTTCAAACTGAAAATCTATTTTTAAATGACTATAATTGTTCTTGGGCAAAACAATAATTCTAAAAAAATTATCTACATTTTTAAAGATTTGTTATCTAAATTCTATATTATGTACATTTTAAATTCTTATTCTCATTACTTTTTTATACTTTGTACACATGTATCTTGAATTCATTATTCCTCTTCTCTTGTGTAAAGAAAATTAAAATAGCATATTATTATTTATTACGTAATGATAATTCAATTATTGCAAACAAGCTATTATAAACATGTTCATTCCAATTATCATACGTGCTAACATAAGAATTCACACAAAACTATCTAGTTTCTGTTCTTCTTTCAAAATATTTAATTGCAAATTAAATTAATAGATTATTGTGTGATAAACTCAAAATTGCTTTCTTTTTTACTAAAATATCATTTTTTTCTGACCAACTATATTCTATTGTTTTTAATTGTTGATGACAACACTAAGAATGATGCTAGTCACGCAACAGAACTTCATTTATCTAAACTTGTTGAGCGATAAACAATTTATATAATAAAAATTTAATGACGCTCTTCACCAGTTACAACAGATAATTTCGATAAATGTATAATTCAATCATCATATGACATTTCGATAAAATAATAGTTCAGCTTGTTCAAATTTCATTCAAAACCTAAGTTTTACCAATTTTTCGATAAATAAAACACATAATAAGGAGCTTTCTGAAAAAAAAATAATAGCCAAGAAATATATATATATATATATATTTTAAACTTACTTAATTCAGTTAATTTTGATTTTTCTTATGATCCCTTTTTCCCAAAAAGCTCCTCAATTAAGTCAATCAAACTTGATCCCGATAATCCCGATATTATACTATTAATAAATACAGAAGAAAGAAAGAAGAAAGAAAGAAAGAAAAATTCACGAAGGAGAAACGACTTTTTTTTTTTTTTTCAACTGACACGTGGCGCGTCTCCGATGCGTTTTCTTCGCGCAAACAGACTAGTATCGCGAACATGAGCATCGAGCGGAAAAGTTATGGAGGCACGTTCGATGATACGCCAAGTATGTCACGTGATTTCTCGCGCTTACTTCTCACGTGTAACGTGTTCAACTTGGATATTAATTAAAGATCGGCTCGATTAACTCGAGAGACGTTCGAGTAATGAATGGATAGTTAACTTGAAATATGTTCGACTACTGTGAAGATTCAACTCGGTATTTCTTTACATTGATTGAGAATAAGATTGGGAGCATGCAAGTGTATAATTATTTGAATTCAAAAATGATAAAATTGTGATGATGACTTGAAATTCATTTCAGAATTTTAAAAATAAAATTTTTAAAAGTCTTGAAAATTTGAAATAGATTCAATTAATTGTTACTCGTCTACGATTTGTTCCAGATTTTTTTTAGAAAATTTTTTTAATATTATCCGTATAATTCATCACAATATATATGTATGAATAATCACAAGTTATCAGGGTAAAAATAAAAAATAAAAATGTTAATATAATTGATTGAATAATAATTCATCATAGAAAAACAAGATAAAATATATCTATATTTTACTTGACTCAAATACAAATTTAAATAGTGATCATAAAATTATCATAAATTAGATTTATAAACTAAATGGAAATTAAAATTCAATTTGAATTTACAACATTAATAGGAAAATAAAAATTGATAAAAGAAGAATTGCTATTGATATAGATTATTGTCTGCGTATTAAAATCGATTGCTAAACAGAATATATCTTCACACATGACCTTCGACAATTGTCGATCAAAGATTACAAGATGTCATAACGCGGCCATTATCATTTATCTTAGAATTTTATTAGTTTATATCGAAGTTTTGTCCAAACATCTCGAATCAATAAAATAGAATGAAGAACGTGGAACGTTTCATTGAAGTTGACGAACATAAAACGCAAGGCGATCGTATAAATAGCAAGCACGATGGCGATTCTCGAGACCTATTTTGCCGCTCTTACAGAGAATCACGTGTTTCGCTCTTTTTACTTTTTGGCCGGTCTAGCTTGCGAATGTGATATGAGGTGTGAATTTACAAAAATAAAACACGATCTTGCAAGAATTACTCACTTGGAAACGTTGTACGAGAATATTTTATTGGTTAGCCGTAAAAACGATTGATTCATTCCCGTTTCCGGTTCCTAAATTCGGATCCCGCGGAAATCGCGTATATAAATAAAGGTAAAGAAACACGTATCTGCGAAATGATATTCATACATAATGATTTTTGTGGAATTTCTCTTGAAAATTTTCCACAAATTTTGTGATAATTGAGAAATAATTGAAAAAAATCGAGAGAAACTGAAGACAGACAATTGAGAGTATTAAATACATATGAGAGTATTTAAAATACATATTATGATATTATTCTAGATGAATTTTCTAAAAAGTAAATATATCTGTCATCTTCTAACAATAATTTGAATTTAGAATAATTATTTAAATTCTTAGAAAATTATTAAAATTATTAATGATAGAATTTTGATAATATTTTATGAAGGATGTATTTTAAAATATCTTACTCATCTTCTTTTATATCTAATGAAATTAGGCTATGTATTAAGATCAATAATAACATTTTTATAATTGAATGAAATTTTCAAAATGAGAAGAGAAAATAAAATGTATCATAATAATTTCCCAAAGAAAAGAATGTTTTATTTACCTATTACGGGGTATGCTGAACCAGTATTCAGGCCGTAATTTCTTTTTCCCGTAGCTCATAATAGGCGTCGAGCGTGGAATTTTCTTATCTTTAGGTCTTCCGGTTCGCAGTCTCAGGTACAATGGAGGATCCTCGCAAGAATGGGCTGGTCGTGGTATAAGTTCTAAATAATGCAATAGAATGATTCATTAATGCATACGATTTTTTTATTTTGATAATTAATTATCTTATTAATTAATTTATTTGATATTCGCAATAATTATGCGATATTCTAATCAATTTACGACTTTTCTAATCAATCTTCCGACAAGACACACAATATTTAGATATTGAATACACTTCGTTTATAAATATAGAAAGAAAAAAGAAAAAAAAAAAAATTAAAAAAAATAAGGGACAATATGCAAAAAGCTCATTTCTAGAAAATATTTCAAATTAAAAGCATCGCATTAAATTATATCGCAGACAATATTTTCTCTTAATCGAAATTAAGTTGTTTAAATATTACAAATGAGATCGCGAGAGCATCGACAAAATTGTATTAGAAACAATATAGATTAGAAACACGAGAAAACGGGCACAACAATACAGATGAGCAAAAAGTGAGAAACAGCCATGAAAAAATTGATATTGTATCGATGATAGGTGATCAAGATCCGACGTAAAAAATTGCACAACATCGTTGCCGTAAAAATTACACGAATTATTTCTAAAAATTATTACACAAAGAGAAAGAGAATAAAATGCATTCGTGTGCAAGTGCAGTGGGCAAAATCGAATGGAAGTTGTGAGTAAAAAAGTTTTAGAAAACATATAATTTAAAAATTGTATGATGTACACATAAGAAGAAGAGAAAGTTGCACAAGAGACTTAAAAAAAAAAACTAAAGGGGAAATAAAAATAGATACAGGTGAAATTAACAATGTGAAAAAAATAACGTTCTTTGGACACATGGTGAATTTATACAAAAGGGATAAAGCAAGCTAATACAGTATGAACCTACCGAGGCCTTCGAGTTCGGGAAAATTAGGTGCTTGGACTAGAGGGACAACAAAACATATGATATTTCTGCATTAGTATGAATTCATTGGCACTTGATCGTGAAACTCTTTCTCCTATTTTACAGAAATAATTTCCAATTTTCCATTTTTTAAATATTTTTTAACATTTAAAGTCTTCATATGAGTTTACAATTTATAAATATATATATGAATTGTATAAATTAATATTTAAGGATATAGCACAAAGAGTTTCAAAATCGTGAAGACATAATAAATTTCTCGTTTAAAATTAACGATAACGATTTTAACAATGAAGAGACTCGAGTTTGGAATCTGTGACGAGAAACGAAAACTATGACAGAATCCAAAAATTATACGATCGTGATAGAAAATTATTGTTCCTCGAATTTGTGTCAGGCATTTAGAAAATACTTGGAACAATATCAAATTCTCTCCGATTGTTTATTCAAAATGATACGAATTCGTGGAACAATTGTTCACGGGTAGTGGCACACCGAATAGTATAAGATGTAAAAAAACTGGAAATTACAAACGAGTACAATTTAAAAACCATATAGAATATACGAGAACTACGTTAAAACGTGTAACAATGTAACGTAAGCGCATTTGGTTAGATAAATTATTGAATTTTATTTTTGTCTGTTTTGGCGATGAGAGAGTGTGAAGAGAAAAACTATCTAATTAGTCGAGATCGGATCCAAAGGCGCTCAAAAATTCGAATAAAGGGACAATAATAAATGCACTAGCAAAATAACATCGTTTAAAAAGCCGTCTATACATACGAGCGAGTGCAGTGCGTGGTATGTAATTCCGTTTGCCATCATTGTTTCTTTCATGTATATTCGCGGCTACGTGTAATTAATTATAGAGTTATCGATCCCTTCGAAGGGTGTTTCTTTGTTGACGTAGGCTCTTGTGCGCGCATAATGATCTTTCTAACAAAAATTATCTAAACACCTTGGAAAATAACTATTCTACGAATAAACATTCCATGAAAAGAATCACCCAACAAAATGAAACACTCTATAAAAAAAGTTGAAAAGATATTTCGTGTGAGAATCTGTTACATTGTAATATCTTTCATTGGATTTAATCATTCCGAAAAAAATATACAGATTGAAATATATTCGCGTTCCATAATTCAGGGAAACTGATCAATTCCTCTGGACACTTACTGTCAAAACTGACAAACAATTCGGGCATATCTTCGACAGAGACCATACTACGATAGTCCAATCGAGGAGCCGTTGTCGAAGTTTTGCTACCTCGACTACTGTCCACGCTGCTGCTACCTGACGATGTCAATGGTTGCTGTCTGATGAACGTGCCCACGGAAGACCGCCTGAAAGAAAGTGATAATGTTAGAGAATAGGCACAAAGATGTTTTCAAAATTGCGTTTCAAAATCACGAGCACACGAGATTCTCTGATTTTCGTGTTCCCTGTAATTTCGAAGCAATGTACATCAATATACAATATGGTGAAGAGCAATTAAATCTTAAGGGAAACAACAACATTCAAGATAAATGTTAAAATTGTATCCAACGTGTATGCATCGTGAAATAAAGTTCAATGACTGCTCGGGAATATTAAAACGCTGTGTTTCTGATTGATCGGTGAATCGTGTGTTGTTTGTAAGCGATACACATTATTCGATCTTGGTGTAGTTTCTGAAAAAAAATGATGGTAAGTTTACCTGAAAAGCGGAAGAACAGAGGAAGAATGTTTTTTCTCAATCTTTGAGAAAGATTTAAAAAAAAAAAAAAAAAATTGAAAGATAGGATGAAGAGTGTTGTTTTTGAGAAGCTGGAAACAGTGAAATTTATGAAAAACTAAAATAATTTTACTTATCCTATATACCAAACAATCGTTTGTTCATTAAAAAACTTATAAGAAAGGACATTACAGACAAATGAATGATCTTACACGTAATTATGGGAAAACAGCTAGAAACAAACTAGATATCTAAGAAGATAAACGTTTAATAAAAATAATATAAAATTTAACAGCCAATCAGAGATAAGAAGAGGAAGATAGAGAAAGAGCAAAAGAGAGCGGAACAATAGTGGGCAAGAAAAAAAAATATAAGGACAAAGTGGATTAATATGGATACAGTATAAACTTGCTGGTTCATGACTGGGCCTAAACTCACCCTATAAGCCCTCCTGGACCAGGTGAAATCTGAGGATTGCTGGAGTCCTGGGAGAGAGAGGAGGCGGTAAGCGGAGGTGTTCCTCCAGCTCTACCGCCCCCACCGCTCTCTTCGCTGGGAGTTTTAGCAAACAGGCCCGAGCTAAAGTCACTCACCAGGTTGATCGGCGAGCTTATATCCACCACCATTACATATTCTTTGTTAGTCACATTGGAAACGATAGTTAAACTTTATTTTTAACACAGATTTACCATCACAGTCTGATTGATAATACTGTCTCAAAATGGTAATAAAAATAACCAGTATTTCCTATAAATTTTTAGAATCAAAATTTACTATACTTATACAGCTACTGAATCAAATTAATCGCTAAATACCATTTCAAAAGTTCTCTTATAAACTTTAATCAATGTTTTGTACGATTTTGATAAATATACTAGCTTTGAATGACTAATTTATTTCTGATATAGTATATATCTACAATGCTAATTAATAAAAAAGTTTGAAAAAGAAGAAAAATGGGAAAACAAAATTGAAAAAAACGGACTATGATGGTACAAGATTATTGAAGACAAGGACGTAATTGGAAATGCCACACGTGCCCATTCCTTTGATTTCTTTACTCCATTTAGAAATTAAAAAAAGATATATCCCAAAGCGCGTTTCGCAAATGCAATAAGCCGCTTGCTTCTACGCGCAAATTTCTAATAAATATTCTATATTAAAATAAATGAGGATATTCATAATAAAACTCGTTTCTAAGAACTATAAAACGTTTTTATTACGTATGTGCGTGATATAAGCAATTCGTTTCATTATGAATAGCCTCAAGTACGCTATAAATATTACTTTTAGTTCTAAAAAATTTCAGCAGAAAGCAATCATACGAAAAACAAACGTTACATCATATAAAGGAGGCCAGACCATTGAAAACCTTCCTTGTATATAAAAAGTATGCAAAATTATTTTTTCATTGAATTACTGATTTCTAACATACACGAATGATGAAGTAAAATATAAAAGCATATATGATTAATTTTTGAACAAAATTATTGTACCATATAAGATACAAGAAAATTTTTATAAAAATTTTATGGACTTATAAACAAGGATAATTATTATCACCTTGAGAAAACTTTGCTGAAAACTGATGAATGATGAGAATCCGCACTATTAGGAAGGCTCGAAACTTTATCAGATCCAGATTTATCATCTTCTTTTTCGCCAGTTAATCCTTCCATCCATGACAAAGGATATGATAATCGTTTTAACATCTGAATAATAATTGTCAAATAAGATAAGAATTAGATTAAATATATAAATATATAAATTTTAATATTACCTTATTTTTACGAGTCTCTTGTTTATCGTCATCTTTATGTTCTTCATCCTTCTCAGGTTCCTCTGCATTACTGTCTAAGCTAAAAGACACTGAACTCGCCTTTTTCCTGCCGTTAATAGCAGAACCACTATCTAGCGAATCAGTTGTTACGTTCGTCGGAGCAATAGTAATAGGAGGGACCCAATCTGAAGATAAGACAATATCTGCGTCTGAATATACTTTCTTTGTAGGGTTAGGCTGAACTACTGGGAAAGGGGGATTAGGGTCACGTATGTCAATACCAGAGTCGTGGCATGACAGTTTGACTAGAGATCCTTCTTCACCTTCGGGAATCACCTTCGATTTCGCAGAATCCGTCTGTAAATATTAATCTTTATTAAAGTTTGAACTTCGATAAAGAATTTTATATTGTATTCCACTAATAATGAACAACTAACTTTGTCAGAATTTAAAGAATCTTGTTGTTCATCTTCAACTGGCCATGGATATTGATCTTTACTAGGAACTGGCCAATGATGGTCAAGCATAGAACGTCTACGTTCCTCTAACGTTCTACTTGCTTGACCACCACCGCTCACCTCTTTAATCTCTTCTTTCTCCTTTTCTTTCTCTTTCTCCTTCTCCTTCTCTTTTTCTTTGGTTGTCATTGTATCTTCTTCCTATAATTTTAATAAAAAATTGGAATTATTATTGGATAATTGCTTTGATATAAAAATTTAATTTATTAAATATAAATTAATGTACATTTTGGAGATTGGTAGGAGTAACAAGATCTCTTTCAAAGGCCTTTGGAAAAGCGTCTCCATCTCTCTCGGTATAACTGCATACGTTTTCAGCATCATCCGCTGTTAATTCCGGAAAATTTTCCTCCTTTTCTGGTGATTGACATTTCACATTCTCAGTTTGCGAAGGTTTCTTCATATAATAAATTTCTGGCTTCTTATCTAAATTTCCAGATTCCGTATGTCCAACACGCATATGCGCGATATCGTAGTAAATTGCAGCATTCACTACAAATTCCATTGGTGCAATAACACCATAAGATTCAGCTCCATGTTCAATTACAAGAGGATCAGAGACATTAGGATCAAACATTACTGCATTCGGTGTAACTAGCAACACTCCACCAACAACACCCTATAAATAAAAATAAAAATAATTTTAATAACATAAAAGAACCAATAAGAAAACTCAAAGAAACTTTATACAAATAAATTGAGATATAAACTTTACCTGACCATCTGTGATATGACGAACAGTAATTTTTAGAAATCTTTCTTTGAATGGCTGTTCTTCCTCTTCTATAACTGTATTTGTAACACCAAGAGGTGTTTTTACTCTTTCCATATGGCTTGATTTGGGTGATACAGGCCTCAGGTTATCCAAAAGTTCTATAAAAAATAATATAACATATAGACTTTTGATCATATTAATTATTTTGAAATATTTTTTATAAAATAGAGATTACATATTGAAAGAAAAAATTACATATAATATAATATGTAAGAAGTTTTAATATTGTAAAAAGATATAGTAGTTGTCTTATCATATTTAATTCGAAGCGTTTTAAATTTTAATTTACGTGATGCAATATTTAAGTAGTAATATTGAACTTAATAAGAATAACAAATACTAAAAAAATGACATAATGATTATAATACTTGTATTTTATATAAAATAAAACCAATGTTCATTTATTTTTCATTTATTTTTCAATAAATTATAGGTTATGTTTGATGCACATAATAACGCCATATGCTTTTCATAGTTTACATCATGACGTCGATCAGCTGATATATTATATATATACATTCAGTGAAAAAAGATTAAAATAAAAATGCATTAACTTTTCAAAAACTATTATATACATAGAAATAAATATAACATAATTTTTTTTGTTTGAAATAACTTAAAATTATTAAAATTAATTATTTGCAAATGCACACAAAGAAATCGATTAAATATATTTAATAAATTATATATTATTATGTATTTCTCCAATAAATCGTAGAAAGATATAAACGCAATTTAATTAAATTAAATTTTAATTATTGATTAAAATGTCTGGCATACCTGATATAAATAGATGATGAAAAAAAACGAACAAAATGCGCGGGAAATAAAGACAACAAAGAACATGTGAAGAACTTTAAAAATCGATTTGTCATTTTTTTTTTTATATACACACATATATATATATTAAAACTATACATCTTTTTTTACAGAACATATTTTATGTTTTTGATGTTATATTTAGTTGTCCATTCTTTTGAGTTTACGAACATTAAGCTTCTGACATGACAGTGTAAAGTGGCGCCATCGAATAATCAATTTATAGTTACTGCGAATCTCTTTCTCCAATATATTTTTATATATTTGTGGATATTTTTACTTCAACAATTGCCATCAAAATGTTTTGTTATTTATTTATTTGCATCAGGTATACTATTTTTACTCTTATTATATACTCGATTACTATTTCACTATATAAATAATAATCTATCAAGAATGTTTCTAACAGCTGTTACAAGTCACAATAAAATATCTATATCAAAACGCTTCACCATCAAATGTAAATCGAAAACAAAATTGGCGCGAACGTCTTTATGAATAATGGAATAGAAAACTGAATGGTACGTATTCAGGTAAGTCGCATTGACTCACCTGGCTAAATATCAAGATGAATTGGGTCTCGATAATATCTGACTATACAAAGTGTCACGTAGAATGTTAATATTGATATATTGCATATATCGAATAGATAAGACATGGCGCCTGTGCTTGCTAAACTAAATGTACAATTCTGACATATACTGTAACGTTCTCTTAATATTAGTTTTTGCATTGAAATGAAAGCAAATTTCGCCAATGACACAGAAAATTATATATAATATAATATTTTTTTTCTTTCATTTTCATTTAGTTATGTATCGAATTAATAATATGATATTAAAAAAAAAAAATAAGATATTAAAATAATACAAATACAAATTCAATACAAAATCAAATAAAAAATAACTTAGAAATAGAATATAGAATAGAATACAATCGAATGATATATAATATATAATGTTTACACATTATGATATTATATTATGATATTTTAATATAAATCTGTATGGAAATAATATATGGAATTGAATATCTTATTTATAATTCTATCCAATTTAATCGTTAATAAACGATTAAAAATCTTTATTCATTAACCAATTAAAAGCAAATTACATATATTACACTTGCAAAAGATAAGATTGCGTTGCGAATATAACATAAAAAAAAATCTTTAAATCTCACGCAACATTGATCTAGTTGTCATCAGCATTGATAATTAACATTGAAAATCAATAGAATATATTAATACTTATAAAAATCAATCATTTTAATACCCTGTCTTTTCTCATATCGCTTACTTTACTTTTTATTAACCATTAATAGGTTAAATAAAATTTCATATATACTATTGGCCAATTTTGAAATCATTTCAAAATTGTTAATAATTCTTTTTTAACGAATGAACTTTCATTATGGTGTGAAATAAATAAAAATTACCTTTTTCCTCTGGAGGTAGGTCATCCTGGGACTCATGATCGTGATAAGGATCCGGACTAGGTGCGTCGGCAGTTCCGCCTTTTGTTTGACCTTCTCCTTCCACGGGTATCCATAACTGCTGGCCAGGGTAAATGAAAGTACTTCCGAGCCTGTTAAATTTGCTCAGCTCGGATGGCGTTGTATCGAATCTCGCGGCCACCGACGTCAGCGTGTCTCTATCGCCCACCTGCGCCAGAGAAGACAAGAATTAGCTACGAATAATTGACAGACAAGTCTTACGAGGAAATACATATTGTTCACGAGTATGGGCGGGATCGTTTTACTAATTTGTTTTGCTAGTTTGTTTCGCATCAGTGATGAAAGACAGAAATAGATTAAAGATAATGAGGAAAGGTAATGCCTATTGTATTGAGGAACGCATGAAACTTCACTTGAGAGTTAGATTTCACTTAGAAACGCGGAAATTGATAGAAAACTATCCGATCTTCATTGACCGGAATTAATTAAGGTATACGATTAAAATCATATAATACAATTTTTGAAAACTTGATCGATAATGTAAAATTTTCAGATTGGTTGAGAGTTTTCACATCAATGACCGCGTAGTTATCCTTAAATGCAAATCACTAGTTAGTATTGCGTGGGAATAATGTACGTGGTGTGGTTCGTTGAATCGATATGAGAATGGTTCGAAAGCCAATCAGGGAGATTATCGATCGCGAGAAGTGGCATGCATCGATGGCGATCCTACATCTGGACGCGTCGTTGACGTGCCACCACAGACCAGGTGGTTTAGAACCCAGGCGAATATCGGTGAAACGCAATTTCACGGACCAATGCTGACGCAACGTCATAAACCGTATCCTTCAATTTGCAAACGTCTGACGATCATACTCCATCGAATTATTTCGCGAGTAACAACTTCATTTCGAAATATCGTATTCATTTATTCATTTGATTCATTTTCAGTTAACAAATTTATTTATACGTGAAAATATGGATAAATTCGAAATGATTCGTCTTTTTTTGATAAATACAAACGAAATATAATTGTTCTCAATCTAAGAGCATATTGATTTAAAAGTTATCTAACCTAACTTAACCTATCTTAATTACCTTGTTTACTACTCCGTTGAACTTCTAAATTGTCACTAGACGATAACCCTAGTGAGTTTCTATTATATAGAGCAAGAATGAAGTAAAGACAATGAAGTTAGATAGGATAAGAAATGGAATAGTTCTACCAAGATAAGAAACATTTGTCATTTTGAAATGTTTCGAAGCATTATGAAATATCATAGAGCAACGTTTATGCAACATCTAACGTCACGATACATTTTGAAACATTATAACGTTATGCGCACAGCAGTTCCTGAAACACAATACCCACAATGTTCGTGTAACGGTTCGCTGTAATGTCTGTGCAGTGGCACCGGTATCGTCTTGCAAGGTTCCCTGCAACGACGTTACGGTACAATGTTCTCTGAAACGTTACTTGTCCTCCGTGTTTCAACTACGTTTAAATGTTTCGTTTCATCTTCATTTCTTCTTTCCCTCCTGTTGCTGCAAAGCAAGATGAACGTGTAGAAAATTGAATTCATGCTTTCACTTCAATTTAATCCCGTGAAGTTCTTTCTTTATCTACTAGAAAAAATACAATCACTTTTTTTGATTAAAGTAAAACAATTCTTTTTTTAAAAATAACGTTAAAAATATCCTTTAATCTTTTTTTACCGATCCTAAATTTTAACGTATCATGTTTCACAAAAAGAATATATCGCAATTATTAATCATTTATATATATATTTTTTTTCATAAGCAAAGTAAAGAAATAAAAATTTACTCCTGAAAGGATTGTTTTACTTTTCTTTTTCTTTTTATTGATCTGAATGTACTCTAAATATATCATAATTTACATATCGAATGTATTAGTGCATTATTATCTTTATTAAAATTCATCTCAGAAGGGTTAAAATATCTCCTTTCATCCGCCTATAAGTACATTCACGCGATAACCAAAAGGACATAACCATTAGGACATTTGCATAATCCGGGCAGAAATGGCGTGCAAGGAGAGATATCGAGTAACAGAAAATTGAAAATGAAAGAGAGGACTCGAGACCGGTCCATTCGTCGGCACATTACTACGGTTCTCTGTATAAATTCATGTTCAATGACCTTTAATGATGCCGTATCATTAAACCGACATCGATTTTCCACGATTTTATAATGATATATTGTCGGTTGGACAAATGTTTAATCAGCGAGCATCAAGCTTCGGATGTTATCCTTGTTAATAATAAGTTTACGGTTGAACATCACGTTGATACAGCAGTACAAGCGAGAGAATCAGCATAGCAATGGCTGACACGATCTATTGCGTGATAAAATTTAGACGTGACAGGCGTTTCAATCGACGACGAACGGACGAAACGTCTGACTATAACACGACTCGATCTACTTCCGCGTATGACAATTGACGCGGTTGTAGTGAGTTTTCGAAGGGTTGAAATCGTGGCAAAAAGAAGGAATATAAATTAAATAAAATAGAATGTAAAAGAGATTTTTAATTATCTTGAATTTGGAAGCGATGTTAAATAAGTTCTTAATTACAAAAAAAAAAAAAAAAAAAATCTACAAAAAGTCTTAACCTGAGTTTTTAATTACAAAAAAAAAAAAAAAAAAAACTACAAAAAGTCTTAGCCCGAGTTCTTAATTACAAAAAAAAAAAAAAAAAATCTACAAAAAGTCTTAACCTGAGTTTTTAATTACAAAAAAAAAAAAAAAAAAAACTACAAAAAGTCTTAGCCCGAGTTCTTAATTACAAAAAAAAAAAAAAAAAATCTACAAAAAGTCTTAACCTGAGTTTTTAATTACAAAAAAAAAAAAAAAAAAAACTACAAAAAGTCTTAGCCCGAGTTCTTAATTACAAAAAAAAAAAAATGTACAAAAAGTCTGAGCCTGTATTTGATTGAAAATAATTAAATTAAAGATTTTAATTTAAATTTAATTGAAAATATAGTTCCATTTGGTAATTTTTTTTTTTTTTACCAAAGAGATTAATGGAATCCTTTGTTTTCTGCATTCCATTATAAGTGAAATAAAAAGAAACGAGTAAGAAGTAATAGTCATAGGTCCTCTAAGAAAGATCATCCAGGAGAAAAAGCGGTCCAACTTGAAAAGTAGGATCGACCGAGGAAGACAAAAAAAAAAAAAGCACGGATCGGGGTGATGAAGCTTTTAAGCTGAAGAAAAAGAAAGAACGTGGAGCAAGGAAAGAAGAGGGATGATTATTTTGTAAAACGGCAGAGTAAGAAGGGTGATACGGCATTGTTTCAGTTTCTGCGTCTTTAGCTTCACAGTGGCTCTCAAAATGAAACATCATTTTGAACAAAATAACAAATATTTATTATCCGAAAAGAATTCATAATTCACTTTTCCGTTTTTCATTCATTATTTTAATTGACTTTATTTACTGAAATTAATGTACTTTTTACGAAGATTTATATCGTAAAAACAACAGATCATTATTTCTGTCAGAGAATAATAACGAAATGCTTTTTAACGTTCTTTCCTCAACTTGTAGTTGACAACAAAATATTACCTCGTTCAAATAAATTAAAAGATCAGACTGTTCTCGAATCGAAACGTTAATCACAATAAGAAGAATTTATTATTAAATAAAACAGCATTTTCACATATTTCTCGAAATCTACTATACTGTAGTACTATAAATAAAATAGCTTTACAAGAGACAATACAACAACAATAAAGTTCTCGTTATACCTCGATACAAATTTAATAAAGGAGAGCCGATTTCCAATTACCACCATTTCATTTCCAAATTTAACAAGAAGAGACGAGTTCGAGAGCTTTGAGAATGAGCACCTCTTTAGGGTGCTCGGGCTTCGAGAGGGAGAGCCATCCCATTCACAAAAGATCGCGCAAGAAAGCACCCGTTGTCCCGATTCTTTCTTCCCTCTTCTTCTCGTTTCTCCACGTAGCCGGGTTACCTCCATCCTCACCCTCCACCCCTTCCCCGAAGAGAAGAACTTTTTTATTCAGGGTCGCCGCGTTTTCGCGGTTTACGTATCCGATAATAACTCTTCCGCGCCTCGACATCTCAATGCCTGCAACACCCCTTCCTTCCCCACCCCCCTTGCAATTATCCTCCTTATCTCTCGCACCGGATGAACCTTTGGATAAGACGTAACAGGGTAACGAGGCGAGGATGGAATTTAATCATCCCTGCCTCGACAAGGGAAGGCTTTGCTTCGAGACAACTTTCATCCCTTATCGATCGATCAATTAATTAATCAGCCGAACCTTTGGATGGCAAACCTTTTATTCCTGGTTCTTGCCAACCGAACAAGTCCTTCGACGCATCAAAAGGAGTGATCGTCTTTGCCTTTAATCTGTCTTGATCTTTTTAATTTCTATCGAATCTGTGTTAGGGTGAAAGAAAAAGAAAAATATTTCATAATTCAAGGGATCTTTCTGTACTGAGATGATATAAATTTTTTAATGATATAATGATAACTATCAAAATGAGTTTTATCTTAATCATTGGAATATTTTGGAAAAATTGTATATAACACATGATATAATTATACAATTCAATTTCAATCATTTGTGATAAATTGGAATGATTGCAAAAAGGGAAGAAGGAAGCTGTAACATTTTTAATTTAGAATATCCTATATATATAAATGTCTACATCGACGAAAGGTAGCGAAAGGTCAAATTTTCTCGTTTTCTATCCATCAGAGATCTTGGAGTTTCTTCGAGCGTGAACAAATCCTTCGAGGTTTCCACCGAAGCGGAGGACCTTTCCAAATGAAAAACTCTGCGCTTTTACTTCCTTCGATATCGTTCACTTTATTACGAACCTCGACTTTTACACGGGCTTAACGTCCGCCTTCCATCAAAAAGCGCTCTTTCCCTCGAATTCTCGCCGAGTCATCACGCGAGTCACTCGTTAACTCGGCTCAATATTTAAAAAGAAAAAAGAAGAGGAAAAAAAAAGAGGGAAAAAGGAGATAGCGAGGATTCGCGACGAAAGACGAATCGTCTTTTCGAGCTTCCTCAAAGGTACGCCCTTTCAGGGAAGATTTCGTAGTTGAAGGTGCTTGAAACGAGCGGTCTTTTTAAATCGCTCCTTTCTGAATAACGAATCGAGATGGCGTTGCTTAATTGGAAAATATATTCCCAGAGAATTGATGGTCA